AAAAAAAAAAAAAAAGAAGCTTTTACAACAGAGAAAGAGGAAATAAAAGAAAAAGGGGAAAAAATTAGAAACAGTTGTTTTCAGTAGTAGATTAGTTAAATGGAAGAATACAATGAAATAATTTATACTATTAAAGGCAGGTAGCATATTTATATATTATCAACCAAAGATATCTGCAGGAAGAATGGGGACCGAAGACCCCATTTTAGGCAGGGCAGGGCATCCCCAGAAAAAGGGAAAATCAAAAAGTAAGCTGAAGGAGTCGAAACAAAGAAAAGTCAGTTCATTTACCTTGTTTACCTTTAAGCTAGCCATTGCTAAATTTCTTTTCTTTTCTTTTTTGCTGTTTCTTTTTTTGGCCAGGGCTGGGTTTGAAACCACCACCTCTGGCATATGGGACCAGCACCCTACCCTTTTGAGCAGGGGTCCTTAAACTTTTTAAACAGGAGGCCAGTTCACTGTCCCTCAGACCATTGGAAGGCTGGACTGCAGGCCTGGGGATGAGTCGGCTGCTAAGCAGGGCAGGCAGCAGTGGCAAAAACACCCGGGGCGCCGGATAAATGTCCTAGGCGGGCTGCATGTGGCCTGCGAGTGGTAGTTTGAGGACACCTGCTTTTGAGCCACAGGCACTGCCCTTCCATTGCTAAATTTCTTATCTGAACAAGTTTCAGGCCTTTCCTGAAACTCTGGCCTATTGGGGATACAGCTTACACCAACACCCTACAGAGTCTGTGAACACTCTGAGGAAGTAAAATGGTCATAAAAGACATTATGACAAGATCTGGACTAGATACACCTTCTAGTCCTGAGAAGGTCGTTTCCTGCCCATTAACCAGACTAAGCAGATACCCATTGTGGAGATTTGCATTTGGCTGGGGCAGAGACCAAGGGAACAGCTCAGTCCGGGCAAAGGGCTTGCATCCCTTATTACAGAGGAAAATCCTCTGTGGTGGTGATGAGGGAGAAAAAAGCCTCTCTCTCACCGAGTCTTCAGTGGTGTTTTACTCCACAGTGAACTAGCGGAGCTTAACACCTCCCTAGAAATCTGTGTGTGTGTGACTCCAGACAGGAGGCTTCCCCCTCACAAGGCTCAAGTTTCAGATGCTCCAAAACTGCTCAAATCCTTCAAGTTAATAACTATGGGAGCTGATAGCTCACTCAAAGAAACTGCTGCTGTCTTTGTTCCCTCCCTCAGCTTACCACCTGGGCAAAGAGGTTTCAATAATACAAGCTGTGTGGAACAAAGACTCGGGGCCACTCAGAGGAGCTCACAAACAGGCGGCGGTCCCCTGAAATCCCACTCTGAAAATTCTATTCTGTGTCTTGTGTCTGTTTATCGTTGTTCCTGACTTTGCATTTCTTCAGCCAGTTACCAGATCCACAGGTCTTAGTGGACCCTGCCCCCAGGGCGGGACCCCGCCAATTTCCATAACACCTTAAGTGAAAAAAAGCAATTTACTGAAGGCCATGTGAGCCTATTTAAATATACATTTAAAAGTCTGTGTACTGAACAGTATTTGAAATAATACATCAACAACAGTTGTCTTTAAGGTTCAGGTGATGGGGGAACTTTCAGTTTCCAAGTTAAAAATGTTTATTTTACTTGAATTTGTATAATAACCACAAACTAAATGAATCCATTTTTTTTAAGTGATTAAAAGCAAGGATGACAAAGCAAGGCTGAAATGATAACAAGTTCTCATCCTTCCTTCTCTCCAAATTAGTCAGGAAGGGGGCAAGATTTCCCAAGATCAAACACCAAGTGAACCACACAGGCTGAAGAAATCATAAGAGCAATGGACAGAGGGAGTGCCCAGCAGGAGGAAAAAGGAGACATATTTTCCAAGCATTGGGATAAATGGAAATAATTACCTGGCCACTTGCTGCCCCATCATCGTGTCACCCTCATTTAATTTTTTGGATGCAAGTCTAGAAAAAGAAAATCTAGTCTTAATACATAATAGCATCTGAGAAAAAACTGGCTTGAGTTTCAAGCCAAATGGCAAACTGCTGGCAGTGTGTCAGTGAACCCAGTTACATGAGGGAAGTCCAACTGGGTGAGACAGAGGAGGAAAGTGGAGGGAGGTGGTTCTGCTCTGTGACCCAGAGAATCAGTATGATCGGATTATTTTTTATGGGGTTGGCACCTGTACCTCAGTGGGTAGGGCTCTGGCCACATACAACAAGGCAGGTTCAAACCCTGCCCAGGCCTGCTAGACAATGATGAAAATTGCAACAACAAGAAAAATCCACGTGTTGTGGTGAGCACCTGTAGTCCCAGCTCCTTGGGAGGCAGAGGCAAGAGAATCACTCGAGCCCAAGAATTTGAGGTTGCTATGAGCTGTGACGCCACAGCACTCTACTGAGGGGAACATAGTGAGACTCTGCCTCAAAAAAATAAAATAAAATAAAATAAAAAATAAAAGGTCTAAGAGCATCCATGAATCCCAAGACTCATGGATACTACACAGGGAGAGACAGGGGAAATGGCACTGTTTTGAATCATTTGGATATTTTAAAAAGGGAACTACTCCCAAATAACACTCAAAATACAACATAAGAATTTTTAGGACAACAATAATACCTCATGTAAGGATCCACGGTGAGGAACAAGGCTTCAAGCAGGACCTCTACAAAATAAAGCATCCCATAGGCAATTAGAAATTCAAGGCCTAATAC